TGAAAGAGAGGGAGGCCTTCAATGAGATGGACTGACACGGTGGCTACGATGATGGGCTCAAGTATAGCAGGGATTGTGGGGCTGGCGTGGGATAGGGCAGTGTTTCGTTCTGCTGTGCATGGGGTCGCTATGAGTCGGAAACAACTAGACGGCACTTAACAACAACAACAAGAAAGAACAAGTGCAGAATATTTCCTGTATGAAAGCAACATGTACTCCTGCATGACCAGCCTATAATATAATATTATAATATAATAAGGCTCCAACGAATTTCATGTCTCTGATAATGAGGGAAAGAAAAAATTCTTAGCTATAAAGAGAATTCATACTGAATTTTCTATTTTCCCTAGTAATAGCTGAAAGAGAATGAAAAAAATCATCAGAAATATGCTCCAGCATAGAGAGGTGACTACAGAGTACCAGAACTTTCAATGTATCTCAAAATGCCTTTGTTACAAACCAGACAGTAAAACTTAATAAATAAATAAAGGTAAGTAGTCCTGTCTTTAGAATAAAATTAAAAGAACCCACTATTAATACAAGTTATACACTTAAATTGCATGTAGTTTCATTTTTCTTACATTCTTAAAATATTTTAAGGAGGTACTGTTCAGGACACATAAAATAAGAAATGATTAACCCAATAAAGAACTAAACACTTTGATAAATCTTAAGTATCCTAGGATTAAATATTAAAGAATTAAATGTATTACAGTCCAATATGCAGTAACATATCATAAAAGTAATTAATATCTAAGTGTTAATACTCTGGTTAAAAAAGTTAAGGGAAACAATTTTCAGATGTTGAAAGGAAGCATATTTTTATTTCAGAATGGTTAGAGATGAAAGAGGCTCTGGTGGCATAGTGCCTAAGGAATGTGATTGCTAACCAGAAGACTGGCAGTTCAAACCCACCAGCCACTCCTCAGAAGGAAGGCTGGGCAATCTACTTCCACATTGATACTGCCTCAGAAACCCAAGAAGGGGTGGCTATGAGTTGGACCCAACTCGACAGCAGAAAGTTGAGTGAGAGACAATGATATTTTTAATTACATATCTAGTTTGGTGTCCTATAAACAAATTAATCACTGTGCACTATCCAGAATATTCTTGGCTTATGCTCTTTCATTCATCTCTCCTAAAAAAAAAACCTGATGCGAAATTTTAAAAGAATACCTAGCCTCACAAAAAACATTCCCTCTAGAAATAGCTGTTGAATTAGCTCATAATTATTTACTAACTTGAGAACTCCTACAACTTCAATTTGTATCTCTCCAACCTATCAAAAGTTAAACCCATAAACAATAAGCTGGTGAACAGAAACTGAGGTAACAGAAAAGGAAGGATCAATAAAGACAACTGGGGAAGTAACCACTGCTTTGAAATTAATAGGGGCACAGGGTCCTAGGACTCCATTTTAGGTGTCAGCAGCAAAAAGGTAGTGAGAGTCCTGAGTTCCTGTTGTTTGGAATTTCAACAATGGACAAGTCCCTTCTTGTTACTCTATTTCAGTGTCACCAATAAAAGTGTTCAGAAGGCCATACTTCTCCCCAGACGCCTGGAGGAGTTTATGTAAGAGCAAACATCTCTTCTACTGTGGAAATTCCAGCAAGCAAGCAACAATGCATCTGAGGTTCCAGCCCCTCCTGGGGACATGACGGGACTGACAGAACCACTGTTCCCCCGACACTTTCCAAGTCAGCTTCCACAAGCTGGGCTGGTATCACTGCTGCCCATCTCTACACCTGCCCTCTGGTACTACGCTACAGTCTCAATTCCCCCAATCACGGCATTATTCAGAGCCTTGTCAATGAGATGGTGAGCCAGTGTCCCTCAGCCCTCCCGTGCCCCTTAAAACTATGTTCCCATCAGCATCCTTGCAAATGAGCCAAATAACAGTATCTTGTAAAAGGAGTGTAAGGATACAATTGCCTAGTCTTGTATATGCCGATGAGAGCAAAGATACTGCTAGTTCAATTTCCCAAGAAACATAGAAGGGTTAAAAGTAAACAAGTATCAATGTTTAAAAAAAAAAAAACAAAACAGTCATTTCATTTCATGACTGCCAAACTATGCACATGCATATATATACATGCTTGTATAAATAAAACACACACGTACACTCATAACCTTAGTAAACATGCTCCCTTGTCTAACTACTCCAACTCAAAAACATGCCATAATAGAAAAGAAAAACCGTGTTGCCCCAACTAATGAAGAACTAACTATTTACTGAAGGATAGATGGATGAATGAACAGGCAAACAAACAGGTGTAGAGAAAGTTGGATCAATAATATATAAAAATACACTGGAAGATAAGAAGCATGACACACATAAGAACTTTGACTCAAAGCCAATATATGTAATTCACAGTCCTAAAGTGACATAAGGGTATTTATTATAAGAGATCCATCACAGGGTAAATATGAACTACACAAAAGAAAACTTTTGGTTGAAATGTAAAATAATGACAACATTTATTACTAAAAGCAAAAATATCTATGTAATAGGGAAGGTGTGAGCTCTGGTGGTATAGTGCCTAAGGCATTTGACTGCTAACGAGAAGGCTGGCGGTTCAAACCCACCAGCCACTCCTCGGACGGAAGGTTGGGCAATCTACTTCTGTAGTGATATTGCCTCAGAAATCCAAGGAGGGGTAGCTATGAGTTGGATCTGACTCAATGGCAAACACAACAGCAATAGGAAAGGCATTATATTAGTTTTATACTTTACACTTTTAGTTATATTTCCCAAAAAAGAGATGTTATGTAAATAAATGTAAGGGCAAATGCATCTTACCTTCCACAGAAGGTGCCTGGTCCTGAGCTGAATACAGCATATCCTTGAAAGCCTGTAAGAAAGGAAAAAAAAAAAAAAGGAAAAGAAATACATGAAATTATGAGTAATCCTTCTATTCAAGAGATATGAAGACAAAAAATTGTTTCTTCTGGAGATGGGGCAAGATGGCGGACTAGGCAGAAGGATTGCACAGACCCTCTTCAACAAAGAAAAGGGAAACCAATTAACACAGACACAGAAGATAATCTTGGACCCCTGAGCCTTGAAGG